TATATATATATAAACGTATATTATATATATATATATATATGTATACATCTACTCTTAAGCAACATAGAATTTATCGAGATATCTTTATAATTCATTTTTTAATTATTTAGGAAACAAATTTTTTCATAGAAAAATTTATTTGATTTAAGCATAGAAGCATAGTGACTCAGGATTTTGGTTTGCCTGTGTACGTGTTCAAAGGTTGTTATTTGGTTTATTTTTGTTGTTTTCTGTATTAATCTTCTACTTACGGTTAGATATTTCTTCGACTATGATTGTTATTGGTAAACTTTAAGAAATACATGAATTTTATATTTTGCTCAAATGTAATAAAATATTTTATCGATGTGAGTTAATTATTTTTATTATTAATTTATACGACATGATATTTAAGTGATATGTTATTTCATTTTATATATAAAACTAGACGATATGATTATGATAGTAATTTTAAAAACAAGTGTTCTACTTTTTCAAGATACTTATATTATATTTTTATTTTGGAATGTATTAAATGTGTGTGTGTGTTTGATAATTTTTTCATAATTAAATTTTGTAGGTACTCGTAGCACTTTGACTCCTGTAAAGGTGTCATGGATGATGAAGAGCGTTTGGAAGGAGAGGAGGAAATGGAGCTTGATGATGCTTCCGATGGTGAAGATGAAGATGAAGAGACCACGGGAATTCCTTCTTCTCCAGCAAATTCAGATCAATTGTTGGGCCCAGCTCCTTCCCTTGGTAATCGTTAGTATTCAAAAATAAATACAACAAAAAACTTAATCTCATTTTCTGTATTATGTGTTTACTGTATTATTGCATGTATTTCATGTGTTTGTTAGAAACAGTATATTCCATTGTAGTCAATTCCGAAGAAGCATTTCCTGATCCGCTGCGATACCAAAAGTTTCCACTTCCTGGTGGTAAACCATTAAGTATAAGACGTGGCCCTGGTAGACCAAGAAAAGAACGTCCATATGGTATCACTCGTGGTGGAGGCACTCGAAGATCTTTTGGTAGAGGTACAACAAGGGGTAAAGGGTTAGTATTTTGAAAAATATTTTTGATTATTCATTTGAAATAATATTTTCTTTTTAATCGATTAAATTAATATTTGATAAAGATTCATGGTTTTTAGGCTTGGGTATATGAGGGGTATACCACGTAGGACAAAAAGTAAAGATGATGATACCCACTCCGAGTCTCCGAGTCCTCTTCGCATTGGTGAAGACACACCTGATGGAGAAGGATTAAATACAGAAAGATCTATGCCTGCCCCGGAAGAACCACCATACTTTCCAGAACAATGGTAAATTTATTTGTAATTTTGTATGTATGATAATTAATAATTAAAATAATATATACTTATAAACAATGATATTAATAGGCCAGGAAAAGTTTGTGCTCTATGCAATTTGGGCGAACGAAGTCAGTTGGGTCAAGGAGAATTATTAAGATTATCATGCCCAGAAGGTTTTACTCCTGAAAAAAATATCAATCGGGAAGAGACGACTGAACAACTAATGGATGTATCTGCAGGTGATAAAAGTCCTCGTGCAGTAGGTCCAGGTGCTGTTACTTGTCGTAGACAAAAAAGTTTGGCTAAGTGCAGAAATACTAGTCTTACTAACTTTACGGAACCAGTGGAAGAATTAACTATAGTTGGGTTTTTGGAAGAGCCAGAGATAGGAATATTATTTGAACCAACAGGGCATTATTATGTTCATCAGTCTTGTGCAATGTGGTCAAGTAATAGTCATGATCTTGCAACTGAACTGATTAGCCCTGCAATAGTGCAAGCTTCATCTCGTCGTTGTGCTTATTGTTCTCATTATGGAGCTGGAATAGCTTGTAAAGTAAGTATTTTGCAATGTTACTTCTTATATTTCAAAGAAAACAATAAAATAAATATATATTTTGTTCAATTCAACAGGTGGCATCGTGCAATCGTTATTTTCATTTACCATGTGCTGCAGCTTCAAGTTGTTTCCAAGATACAAAAACATTATCTCTTTTTTGTAGTCAACATTTGGGACAAGTTCCATTATTATGTAAGTTTATAACTAATTGAATATATTTTATTCTAGTAAACATATATAGTAAACATATATAGACATATTAACATATAAGTATATATATTTTGTATAACATGTAAGAGCATATATATTTTGTATAATATTGCATTACATAATAGTTATAATGATATATATATATATATATATCAATTTGTTGTAGTAAATGGTGATGTTACATGTATGCACTGTTATGGAATGGGAGATGTTTCTAACCTAGTAATGTGCTCTATATGTGGACAACATTATCACGGTAGTTGCGTTGGTTTGGCCCTTTTACCTGGAGTACGTGCTGGTTGGCAATGCATATCCTGCCGTGTATGTCAGGTTTGTCGTCAATCTGAGGATGCTTCAAAAATAATGTTGTGTGAGAGATGTGATAAAGCGTATCATTCTGGTTGTTTACGACCAATTGTAACATCGATACCTAAATATGGGTGGAAGTGTAAATGTTGTAGAGTGTGTACGGATTGTGGCTCGCGTACACCTGGTGCAGGACTATCGTCACGTTGGCATTCTCACTATACTGTTTGTGACTCGTGTTACCAACAAAGGAACAAGGGTTTCTCTTGTCCGCTTTGCAGAAAAGCATATCGAGCAGCTGCATATAGAGAAATGGTACAGTGCAGCGTGTGTAAAAAATTCGTTCATGGTACCTGTGATGCAGAGGCTGATCCAACAACTTATCAGCATCGCAAAGAAACTAAACCTGACTATGAATATGTTTGCCTTCATTGTAAAAGTGCGGCTATTGTAAAAAGAAAAGACAATGTTGATGATTATACAGGTGACTTTAGTCTTAGCGGATCGCAAGAAAGCTTTTACGGAGATGGGGATTCATCTGAGGTTGATTATCAAGGAAGTTCAGAAGAAGCATTATTTTCTATTGGACTTGGAAAAGGAAAACCTTTTTGTGCGTCTAAAATCGCTAAAAAAAGATTAGGCCTAGGAGGAGCCTTGATAGGTAGACCAAAAGGTGTAGGAAAACTTGGCTATCAAAAACGTCAAAAAATGAATGAATTTGGTAGAAAAAGAGGTCCCAAAGCTAAGATGAGAGGTATTTTCGGAGTACCAGGAGTAGGATTGCAGGTAAAAAATTTGTCTTTTTCTTTCTCTTTTTTTTGTGGTTTTCATTTTTATAAATATTAAATTTATATAACAAAATGATGTATACGTTCGTTCTCATGTACATTTTTATTTTTTTATTTCAGAGACCAAGTTCAGATTCTTTTTCAAAAGAAGAAGAACCAGGTGTAGAAAATAGATTAGTATTATGCTCTGCAAAAGATAAATTTGTTTTAACTCAAGATATTTGTGTTATGTGCGGTGCGATAGGAACTGATCAGGAAGGATGTTTAATTGCTTGTGCACAATGTGGACAATGTTATCATCCTTACTGCGCTAATGTTAAAGTTACTAAAGTAATATTGCAAAAAGGTTGGCGGTGCCTTGATTGTACAGTATGCGAAGGTTGCGGCGAAAGAAATGATGAAAGTCGTTTAATATTATGCGATGATTGTGATATCAGTTATCATATCTATTGTATGGATCCACCATTAGATTATGTACCTCATGGAACATGGAAATGTAAGTGGTGTGCACAGTGCCAAACATGTGGTACAAATGATCCAGGATTTAACAGCAGCTGGCAAAAAAATTACACCCAATGTGGTCCATGCGCATCTCATATTGCATGCATATCTTGTCAAGAAGCTTATAACGAAGGAGATCTCATAATACTGTGCATTCAGTGTGAGAGATGGTTACATTGTACATGTGATTCCATTAAATCGGAAGCAGATGCAGAAAAATGTGCCGAAGAAGGATATATTTGTATACTTTGTCGTCCGAGAGACATACTCCCACCACATCTTATGTGTAACCAATCTAAGCTCCAACCAAACAAATATTCATGTTCACCACCACCAACTGTGCGAAGTCCCGAATTATACAAACCATCTTCTCAAAATTATTTAGTAGATGGTGTATATTTATCCGAGACTGGCATGAATCACATTAAATCTTTAACATCGGAACATCAACAACCGAGGAAAAAAAGAAGAAAAATGATTCCCGTGGTAGATAAAGATGCAGATATAATGGCCACGATAGAATCTGTTGTGGCTGGTGGTAGTTTAGACAATTCCTTAGAAGATAATGGAAAAATGGTGGATCTAGTAGATGTTAAAGATGAACCTACTGAAATACTTAAAGAAGGTATGGTATGGAATCCACGTGGAGATCAACCTCCACCGGAAGGATTCAGTATTTATACGACTGAAAATGGCATACCAGTTTTAAGACGCAAACGCCAACGTAATTTACAAAAGCTTGGCATTGGTGGATTCATTGTCAGATTAAGAGGTAATCGTAAGGATAAAGAGGAGGAAGGAGATTCTGAAAAAATATCTGATTCAGTAATGGCGGGAATGGTAGATGACAAGCCACGTAGAAAACCACAGAGACGAAAACCAAAGACAAAATTATCCGAATGTTTTCCCCTCTATATGCAAGAGGCATTCTTTGGCAAAGAGCTTTTGGAACTGACCAAAGATAAAGATCCTGAAAATAATGGATCCGATGGTGAAAGTAATGTTGCTACCACTAATGCAGATACTATTCAATTATCGCAAGATGAATTGAAAGTAATGGAACAAGTTAAAGCTAAGCAAGAAAAAGAGGAAGATAAATTGCCAATGGAACAACCAATAAAACGAGAAGAAATCATGGAAGATGATGGTAGTGATACAGAAGCACTCCATGATATATTACCTATTTCTGGTGATATTCTTGATAGTGATCTTGTAAATACTATTATGAATGAACCAGACGAAGAATTAGCTAAAGCTAGTGAAGCTTTGGACGAATTAGACGACACGCAAGGAACTACTAAGGACGAATTAACAGACATTCTTAGTCCTCATTTTAATTTAGAATCTATGGTCCGAGATATTGGTATGTATTAACTGTATGGATAACAAATTTTAATTTATTAACATATGGGTAAAAAGAAGAATATAAAATAATAAACTTCATGTTTATGTGTTTATTAGGTTTACCTAATATGGATAGTAAAGATATTGAAGACATATTCAAAGGAGTTCTTACAGATGAATCACAAGAATCACAAGAATCATCAGTGTTTTCAGTTCAAGCTCAACCTCCACATCCAGCATCTTCCTCGACACCTCTTGTTTCACCTTCACCACATCCTGGTAAAAATATATTTTCATCATTTATAAATCATTTTAATGAAAAAATCGAATTATTTACTAAATATTAATCATTTATAAGGTATGCAAACAACTTTACCTCTTGCAAGACCGCAAGTACCTGGTACATTACCCCCAGTTGGGCAATCTAATTTAAATTCTCCTATGAGTTTTCCACCACCATCGCCATATCATTCGGAGTACAGCAAGTAAGTAAATTAAATTTCTTTAATTTATATGTACAATTAAATTAATGAAATATATAATAAATACCTAATGAAAACTTTTGTAAAGTATATTTAATAATATTTGAAATGATAATTTTACAGTAGTCCACAATTTAGCCCAGCATTCTCGGAACCACCAAGTCCTTGGGTAAATCCTGACGATGAAGGAAGTGCTCCAGTGAGTGGTGGTACGTCATCGTACAACCAAAGAACTAATCTTAAAATGGAGACTGATGAAGGATTAGGTAATGGAGCAACAATATCTTCAGTACTTTATGCAAATATAAATCATCCCGAATGGAAAACGGAATATCCTGGTAATAGGAAAACATTCAATGGGATATTTAAATATGTGTAATCTATAAATACTGTAAGTTTTATATACGTTTGGTATATTTTTAGCTTGGTCTGAAAGATGTAAACAAATTTTAAAAAAGTGGCGTGGTCTATCTACTGAAAAGAAAGCTCCTTATCTAAGTCAAGCAAGAGATAACAGAGCAGCAATTCGTATGAAGAAAACACAACAGGTAAGAATAGTTTCTTGGATAATTATCGCGATGCGAAATTAAAAAAGAAAGCGTGATATTTTCGTGAAACGTATCCGTTTTTTCTTTCATTTTAAATGGTGTTTTGTGCTAACATAAAAGTTACAACTAACAAGCTTATTCTTTACATCTCATCGTAATTACATATATATTAATATGTCGAATATAATTACACTATTCTGATAAAGTTAAATACGGATATATGTCACATATGCAACATTATAATAATATCCTCAATAAAATCGATATATTTATTAAAGATATAGAATATTTAAAAGAAAACAAGATGAGATGTTGATGCCTTGTTTCATAATACAACTTACTAACATTGCAATAACTTTACATGGGTACATATTTGATATATTTTCTTTTATTGTTATTATAAATGTAATTATCTAATCCCATGTGCATTATCAAAGTGCAAGATCATAGAAATTTAATCTATTAATTATCTAACAAAACATCTAAGATATATNATCTAATCCCATGTGCATTATCAAAGTGCAAGATCATAGAAATTTAATCTATTAATTATCTAACAAAACATCTAAGATATATATATATATATATATATATATATCTTGTTTCTCGGCGATTCGAATAATTATTGAAATCAAGAAGTTTCCTATATTATAGGAGTACTTACATTGTCTATAGTTCCTGCTAATAGTTTCCCCATATATTCCTCAGTCAACCATGCAGAGTTAAAATTTCTATTATTACCCTGTATGATGTGTCTTGGAAGTATATAAACCATGAGTACTGTAACGTAAAAGTGTGTGAACGTGGCACCCCTTGAACCGACAGATATCCAAGGAATTACCAAGCACGACCCCAGTCACTGCATCAAGCGCACCTACCATCATCACCAAACCTGTCACTGCTATGACATCAGCTCAAGTTTCTCCAGTAGTAGCTATGGCCTCCAACCAAAGGCAAATTGGACTTTTGACTTCAGTGAGCAGTGAAAAGCCGCAAGAAAAGAGTGGAATGTCCGTATCTGCAGCAGGAGTGACGGTGCCATCAGCTAGCAGTAATCATCATGCGGAGGTGTGTGCGGTGCAGGGACCGCCGAAGCAGCTAACATCTATTTCCCCGAGTCCTTCGTCAACTTCCACAACCCCGTCTTCTTCACCCAGACCCAGTTCTGTCAATTCTATCAGTTCCATTAACAGCCTGGCGCACCAAGAGATTACGGGTGGCCAGGCTAGAGTAGCTCAGTCGCCAGCCACGCCTTGCACATCAGCAACTGCTTCTTCTTACTGCAACACGGGCGCCGGTGAAGGGCAGCATCAAACGTCACCATCCCAACAACGTCCTACACCTTCTCATGTTGCAATCAGTACCAGTACTGTATCTAACAGTCTGGCTATTCCTCAGGCATCCCCCACTGCTAACGTGATGGTGGGGGCAGCTCCTGCCCGCCAATTATCCTCGGTAGACCACCAGATTAGAGTGCTCACCCCATCTGAAATCATGCGCACCCTCCCCTCCTTGAGCCAGGAGCACTACGATCCGCCACCCACTACAATTATTCACACTGTACCTGTACAGACCCCGGCTATGGTGAGCCACCTATTCTGTGCCTCTAGTGTCTTGCCTTGTGCCACGTATCTAAGACTTAGTGTTCTTTAATTTTTTTCTTTTCTTTTTCTTTTTTTCTTTTATTTTTACTTTTTATCATACATATATATCTATATACAATTATTGGGTTTTCTATTTTATTTTTTACTGATCTTTTAGAACGAATATATGGAAAATAATCATACAGATTTATTTTGCAATATATATATATTTATACGTTCGTCGATATAATTGTGACGTACTATAGTCCTGAAATACAATATTTAATATGAACGTTGATGTAATCTTTAATTACATAAACATTAAAATATTTCAGGACAATGGTTACATTCAAATGCGATCACTTTGATGTTGCATCATTATAGCTCTTGATATGAGATTCAATTTTTTTTTCGTCGTTTAGTTGGAATGAACAAAACTTCAATATTTCATGTGCAAATAATATGTTCCTTTTTTTTTTTGTATGGCCATGATATTACCCTTAATAATTGTAAATTGTAATATTTCAAACCTTTTTTTAGTTCATCAATTTTATTTTTTTATATTATTTTTTGTTGTTGTAATTTAAAATAGACTTTTCTTTTTCTATTTTTGTTTTATAATTTATATTTCAAATCATTTGGGCATGTTAAAAGGCATCCATTTACGTTTCTTTTTCTTCCCTTTTCCTTAAATGTCATATCGAATCCTTTTTGTCTGTGTATTCCACAACAAAAAAAAAAGTAAAACCCAATGTATCCCTCATTATGTAGTAAAACGTTAAGCTTTTTACGAACATCGTTAAGGGTGTTAAGTAGATATGTGTTGTGATATGTTGTTGTAGAATTGTTTGTTCGTAAAATATTTACACGTTTATTATACTAATTATTTTTTACTATCAACACTTTCAGATATTTTTACCAATTCTTTTTATTGGATATTTTCTTTTCTTTTCTTTTTTATTTTTTTCTTTTTTTCTTACATTATATGTCTATTTTTTATTTTATTTTGTTATTTGTTTTTATTATATAATATGAACTAAGTAATCAAGGTGATTATTTACGTAACGAGTATCATTAATACATATTTGTAACTTATATATGTTGATATATTGCATTCTTGAAATTAATTGAGAAGTCTATTTGCATTAGTACAAATAATTTTTAATCTCTAATATCTGATATTTAACAAATAATATACATTTTTTTTTAAATGTTTTTTTTTTCATTGCACAACAGATATTTCATAGCTTTATTTTAATACTGTGTTTTTCAATTATAAATTATTAACATTGATTTAACGCACATCTATTTTATATTTTTTGAATTGATTCATAGCTATAAATTTTATTTTATTATGCTTACTTTAATTTAATGAGATTTGTATTCTTTTTCCTTTCCTTTTCTTTTTAATTTTTATACAAATTTCCTGCATGAGTAAAATTTGAAAAAAAAAAAAAAAAAAAAAAAAACAAGAAAAACTATCTATGGTGATGATGAGAAAGTTCATGATTGTTTTATTTGAACATAATGAATTTTCGATTTAAGTGGAGTATGAATAGTTTTATTCCTATAGATGGTGGCTGGTTGCACATGTGAAAATAAAAGGTCTTGTTGATAAATTTAATTTTAGTATCATGCCAGTATGTTTTTGTGAATGTTGTAATAAAACATTTTGGCTGATTGTCATTAATGCCTTGTACTTTATATTGCTCAAAAGATTATTTGATTAATAGGTCATTATATCCTAGAGAATAATTTTTATTATATTACACATATTACAATAATTTCATATGAATAACAATTAATATTATTAATACAACCACCTTAATTTTCCATAAATCGAAATTCATTCAATTTATAGTTTTTGTATTTATCTAAAAAGGATATAATGATCTTTTATTATATATTTATTATGTTTTCAATAAATTGTTTTTTAACAGGAACAAGAAAGACTTTCCAATAGAGACCGTTCTAGTAGAGAAGCAGAACAAGAGCGTCAATGGAAACAACTGCAAGCTCTACGTCAACAACAGGCACAATTTCAACAGCAAGTAATTCAAGAACAACGTGTACATGGTATGTTGAACCAAACATATCGATATATATATATATATATATATATATTTGAATGTACAACCTTTTATTATTATACAAATTTTTGTAATAGCTATAGCCAGAGTACAAAGACAAATAAGCGAAGACAATACTTCACAATTAGGTACTGATAATTCAACTGGATTAACAACACAACTACAAGTTTCAACATCACAGGTATATTTATATATTTATATAAATACATTTGAACATTCTCGAATACTTGCGTATTTATAGTATTTCATCGATATTTTGATGTATGATACTTTTTAGGAGAATAATCATTTAGGATCACTTGCTTCCCCATCCCCTGGATCACGTGGTACCTTTGCAGCACCACCAGTTAAAGTAACAAGAGGGGTAGCTCCACCAAGTCCTCACCAAGGTATGCCGCGTTTACCAACACAGCCTTGTGCAACGGTTACACGTCCAGTTGGAACCGTGGTTAGGCCAGGCATGCCAAACAATTTCACGCAACCGCCTTCTCCTTTCTCACCCCAAGCTCCTCAATCTCCTCATGATTTTCCACAGTCTCCAGCTTCCTCTCAATCTCAAGATCATTTTCAACGGTTCGATACGAACGAGGCTTTCTCTCAGGCTTCCCAAACAGCTAGGTCACAAATATCTGGTAAACCTTCGTATTCTACGTCACCAAGAAATGAAGTTTTCTCACAGCCACCAGGTACACCAAGACCAATGTTTAATCCACCTACACCGCGACCCACTACTCATGTATACGCTCCATCTCGTACTCCTGATCCCTATAGTAATCAACCACCAACACCATCACCTGTTCCAAACTACCCCTCGCCAAGATCAGAATCTCGGCAAGAGCCACAACAGCAAGAAGTATTTAATCAACAACCAGAAGTTAATAGGCAGTTGCGTGATCTTCTCCAAAGACAACAACAATTCAAGAAAATTGATTCTGTCAATGCTTCTTGGAATCCAGGTAGATTATTGTACAAAATTTATGTTATATACTTTTTAAATCTTTAATACAAGATTAATGATGATCTTTTGTTTTTCTTAAAAGATGGACAAAATCCTGATGGAAATCAACCACAATTCGAAACAGGTCATGTACAACTTCAGCAACATTCTCAATCCAATAATAATACTGGGGAAGGTACATTTAGGCATCCTCTTCCACCAAGTGTCGTAAGACCACGAATGCCACTTCAACAAAATATTTTAATAAGAAATCCAATTGGTATGATTCATACGTTCTTTTAGATATTTATTTTATTACGATATGTAAAAACTTTTTATATAATTAATTAAATACGTTTAGGAATAACTTCGAGGCTCCCTGTTACGGGAAATATGGATGCGAGACTTCAACCCATAGATTCTCGCACTAGAATGTTACTGCAACGATCGCAGGTGAATGCAAGTATTTCGCAACAGCATTTTCAAGGTACGCAACCCTTACAAACTCGGATGCAAACTGTTAGAAATACATTGTCGGAACCTTATGATGTACTCCAGCAACAAAGATTTCCAGGTATTTTATCATTTATATTATATTTTATATGTACAAAAAATATAAATATATTAATTTTAATTAATTATGTAAAATCTAATGAAGGACAAACTCTTGGTCAACGTATGATACGGCCAGGTCAAGATAATTTAACTCAGGGGATGCGTATATTAGGAGCACAAACATTGGTTAGACCTAATCTTATGCAAGCAACTGTTAATGAAACTACTAGCACTCCAGAATCATCAGAAATTCCAGATAATGTAACTGCTGAACTTGAGAAATTAGAGCAGGAAGAAGAAGCACCAATGGTCGAAGTCGAGGTCGAGGGCATGAATGCAATGTTAAATGATTTGGTCGAAGATGATGATGAACTCCTTGGTAAGTAGAAATCAATGTCAATGTATAAATTGTTTAATTGAATAAAATATATTCACATGTAATACTTATATAATTTATTTTTAACAGCTGAAATGGGTCCAAATTTTAATATTTTGGAATACGCTGACCCTGAATTAAACAATATAACTGGAGGTGACAAAACTAATATTCTCGATTTGGAATTGGAACAAGTTGAAGTAGAAACGAAAGAAGAAAAACAGAAAAAGGAATCGAAGGAAGAAGAACACAAATCGGAAGATTTGGCTGGAACAGGTAGAGTACTGACTGGTATTAGTGACAAATGTACAGGGAACACTGTGCAAACATCGACTGATACAACTGCAATACCAACACAAGTACAACCGATGGCTCCTTTGAGCGCAACTCCGCAAGTACCTCAACAACAACCGGCTATTTTACCTCAAACGCATTCTCCTGCTGTTGCTATACAACAACAAATGCATCAGCATTTACAACATGCAGCGGCAATTGGACGACCTATGCCACCAGGAACTCGATTGTTATCTCCGGATGGTGCTGTCGGCGTTGTCACATCGACCAATACGGTTACAGTCAGTTATCCTTCAACATTTCCTGGTCATCCTCAAAGAATATCACAAACGCATATACAAGGTAATACGATCTTACTTAATATTTTCTTACACAATTGATCTTATTTCTATTCTTGATTTCTATCCTTATAAAAAAAGACAATTTTATTAAATTGCTTATAGTTGCTCAACAACAGCGTATTGGTATGAGGGTTGCTGGAGTCCAAAATGTTGCTGGTCGAGTCGTAACAGTTAATCACATGATAGGACCACGTTTACCACTTGCACCTCCACCACCACCGCCGCCTCCACCACCACCTTACCCAGGACCACCGCCACCATATCCTGGTCCTATACAGGTTTGTATAAATAACATATCTCTAATGTTTCCTAATTCTGCATCGCTTTCATATCCAGTATCTAATTACATTTAACACCTTTCTAACTGCAAAAAAAAAAACGAAAAAAAATGGATCTCATTCGAATTCATCGTATACTCGATATTAACGTATTTTTTATGTAATGTTTTTTTTTCTTTTTTTACTTTATTGTTTTATATTATATTAAGTTTTATAGGCCTATAGTATTATGCAAATTATTTCATGTCTCAATAAAAATGAAGTAACAGTTTGCATTGATTTAGAAGCTACGTAAAGAAAATATATAAACAAGATTTTAATATTATGTCGCGATAATAGAGTAGATTTAATCGTATGTTAAAACAAAAGAAAAGAAAAGAAAAGAAAAAAACACGAGAAGAGATTTAAGATACATTTGTTGTATTACGCATAAAAAAGAAAGAAAAGTTTGCTGTCAAAGTAGGTGTAGCCAAGCGATTTATTTAATCTAAAAAGTATTGGCTGGTAAAATGGTGTTTTGGCCTGGGTGTTTGCAATGCATTTGGTGTTGGTGCATGTCTAGATGGGGCTGTGCCCAGGTGGGCGGGGTTTGACGCGGCCCCCAGTTCATATAGGGCACACAATGCCAGTGGCTGGTCCACCAATGGCCCCAGTGGTTCATTCTGGTGCACCTGCAATGGCACCTCACCCTCATCGAAGACCCTTGCTTCTGCAGGTGAGCAAGACTTGAGGCATTTTTTCAACTCGGCACAAATAGTCAGAAAATCACCTGCAATAGTAAAAAGAAAATGAGGATGTATTACACAAGATTATTGCATATTTTACTATTTTAATTAATAATAATAATAATATTAACTATAATAATAATAACAACTATATAATATTAACCATTTCAATTAAATTTTAAAGATAATCACAATATGAGTTGCCATTTCGAACAATTTTATAAAATATACATGTGTTTCATTAACAAAAAATGTTATTATTTTTTGTTTAACCATATAATTTTACGCTTGACAAATCTTATTACTAGTTATATTTTTTAATGTTAAGATTGTGCAATGTATTTTGTGTATGCATGCACTTTTAAATGGATTAATTTAACTTTTGTGTAAAAGATTTACATATGAGGATATACTTATAAGATATTTTTCTTTATTATTTTTTTTTTTCATTTAAAAAAAAAAATTATAATTAGCTTTCTTCTACGTTTTATTGCCATTTAAAAATTATTCGAGATAAAATATATTTTTACAAATGCTTATATATATTGATATTTAATTTATTAGTAATATTTTCGCATGTCCATGTTTTATTCCAAATTACATACTTAAATGCTATTTAATGTGATATAGCTATGTCATAGTTTATTAGAAATGCATTTCATAATAAATATAAAAAGATATATATAATGCTAGATGAAAAAATTGTCTTTGTTGATCTTATTATTATTTTTTCTTTTTTAATTTGTTTGTTTGTTTCAATTGGATATCTAAGAAAGATGCATTTGCTTAAATGAAATGATTCCACATAAATAGAAAGTGACCTTAACTGTTAGCAGTCATGTTCGCAGGAGCAACCATTGCTATTAGAGGATCTTTTGGAACAAGAAAAAAGAGAGCAAGAAAAGCAACAGCAGCAACAGCAACAACAGCAACAACAACAAGTTGATAACACATCTTCTAGTGGAAGTCTTTTAAGCGATAGTGACTTTGAGAGATTGAGAGCAGACGTTTTAGGCTCTGCTCCATTAGCATCCCCTCCTCAAGGAATGGTACCAGTGCCTGGAGGTATTCCTGTTATTAGACCACCATGTACACCAAGACCACCATCTGCACCAGGAAAAAATTGGCCACAAGCAGTTCCAGACGCGGCAAAGATTGCAGTTCAAGTACCCAGACAACCAATTTCTACGCAAACAACACCTGAACGTCAGTAGTCAATTTATTAATAATTGTACACGTTATTTAAATTTATTTATTTTTTTTTTTTTTTTATTACAGCAAGGGTAACTACATTCCATTTAGCTCAATCACAAGTACCGCCGGCTCCACCAGATAATATAGTAAACGAGCAAGACCGTCAAATTCAAATTCAATATGAACAGTGGTTAACTCATCAACAACAATTATTATCTTCACAACAAAAGTTTTACGAAACGGAAGTCCAGAAGCTGCGCAAAGTAAGAAAAGTAAGCAAAATAAATCTTAGTGATATTTTATATACAAATAGTACTATGTTTCCTTAATGTTTTATGTTTCACGCAGTCTCTTAATAGCAAACAACGACAACTTCGGAAATCTGGAAATGAATTAACAGAATCTGATGCTAATGAACTTCAAAGAATTTCGGCTGAACAAGCAGTATTACAAAAACACTTAGATGCTAGTAGAAAACAATCGAGACAACATGGAATGTTGATACAAGAATATAATACTAAACAGCAACAAAAACAATCTCAGTCACAAAATAGTGAACCTTGTTCACCGTTAATGTCTCCTTCCCAACATTCACCAATGCATAGTCCGGCTGCACTTGTTTCTCAAAGTCCAGGTCCTGGAAGTGTCTCTGCAAATATGATACAACATTCACCAGCTACATCAATGGTACAACATAGTCCTAATCCACCATTATTGCAACACAGTCCTGGTAATCCACAAACAGCAAATCCAGGAACGATGTCCCCTCATAATATGCAACCATCTCCAAGAATCGGAACGCCTCATTCGCAAGGCGAGGAAAATCCTTTCAGCCCAGGTGCTATGTCATCTCCAGGCATTTGTGGCCCCGCAGCTACTAGAATGACTTCACCACAACATCGTGCTGTTATAACAGGACGACATGTTACGAGTCCAGGTTCTTTCACAGCTGAAGTACGGAACTCTCAGCAAATGATTGTAGAACAAGGAGCTAGATTGCATGCACTTACTCAACGATTCGTTCGTCCACCAGTAATAGGAGAACCTGGTCAAAGACCAAGAATGCAAATACAAGGAGGAATAGTATATGGTCAGCGTTCTCCGCTTGGAAGTCCTCAACCCAATCAGCAATCATTAATGACTCAACAAATGCTACAACGACAACAAATTTTGCAGCAACAACAACAGCAACAACAGCAACAAATTTTGCAGCAACAACAACAGCAACAACAGCAGCAACAACAACAACAACAACAGCAGCAGCAACAGCATGATATAAATAATGTAACTCAAGATAATCAGAATGCTATAAACCGTAACTTACAAATGGTACAACAGAGGCAACAAATAATACAACAGCAACAAAGACAACAATTTTTACAAATGCAGCAACAGCAACAACAACAGCATGGAGCTGCTATGCAAAAACCTCCAAATTCTCCCATGGTATCTCAACCTGCAAATTCGCCAAGTCCACAACTTCATCAACAGATATCTCAAAATTATGGGCAACCACCAAGTTCACCAATGCCACGTAGTCCTATGGTACAGCAAACGATGGGTTCGCCTATGCTTCAACAACAATTAAGTCAAACTTCTCAGCCTCCAAGTCCAATGAATACAAGAATGCATACACATCCACCTACGTCTCCGATGGTTGCTCAATGCCAACCACCTAGCCCTATGGCTCGTAATCATCCATCAACGTCACCGATGTTACAGCATCAACTTAATAATTCGCATCATCCACCACCACCATCGCAAACACCAAATTCTCCAATGCCTCGTAGTCCGATGGTTGGTGGCTCTCCAATGCAAATGCAAAGACGACAATCTACTGGTAATAGTCCAGCAATGCCTGATAGACCGCAAAGTGTTGAAAATCCTGGAACGCCAAGAACACCACATACTCCTCATACACCGCATCCAGTTTATGTCTCTCAAAATTCAGGTAACGCTATAATGTCAAATGATCAACAGCAGCAGCAGCAGCAGCAACAACAGCAGCAACAACAGCAGCAACAGCAACAACAAATTTCTCAACATCAGCAACAACAACAACAACTTTCTCAACATCAGCATCAACAAGAACAGACATCTGTAGATCATACAAATAGAGGAGGTGGAAATCCACATAACCCAATAAGTTCATTACCATTCATACCTAATTTTGGAAGGTACGGGTTTTTTAAACTTGGCCTAAGAGGTGGTTCTCCAATGTGGTCAAAACCAGAAACTAGTAAAGGCAAAACTGCAGAATCTCATCTGTTGAATATGGATGAAAAACCTAATACATCAGCCGTACATAGGAAAACAGGTATACCGCAATCAAAAATTAATTCTTTAGTTTGTGCAGATTATAATGATTTTGACGATGATTCTCATACACCACCTCAAACGCCACCAACATCTACAGAATTAAAACAGACGCCGTCGTTACCTGACAATGGTCCATTACAATTAGGAAGCCCAAGTGATAAACTTGAACCTATTCATGATACTATAGATTATGACGATGATAAGACAATAGTTAACACCGAGGTAACTCTAAGTTCAACAGCCCAACGGGACAATGATGACATTACTGTCATAGAACAATTTGGAGATTCAGAATTAGTTGATGTTATGACAAGTGCGCTTGATAGTGATATGCCGGAAGAGTATGTACTTTTTGAACCTGATGTGGTTGTGGATTTATCTGCTGATAGTAACGATTCTCTCTGTCATGCACTTGTTAATGACGGTAGTCAAGGACATGATTTGGTACAAATTTTGGAAATTGAAAATCCAGAATCTCAAACTGACGAACCTGTATTAAGTGACGAAGATCTTGCGCCTTCACATACGAGAAATAAAAAAGGTTTAAGATTAGACATTGTAAGGACACTTGATTCTGGAAAACGATTATTGGCAGTAACAGATACACCAGAGTCCCCTGACCAAGATGAACTTCGTGTAGATCCATCACCTGGACCATACATGGATCACTCACCAGATCAAGATCTTATGGTATCCTTGGATAGTGAATCAGAGGTTGTTATTATTGACCATAGTACGAAATCACCTGAAGATAATTTCTTTAAAGAATCTTGCGAAGAAGAGAACGACAAAGTAGATTCTACAAATAATTTAGATGTATCTAAAGAAAATCTTATGAAAGAATCTTCAAACGAGGATCAATCAGAATCTCAAAAGGAAACAAAGCAAACAAAAAGCCCTACGGCATTCACATTTCCAGAAAGTGTAACATACAGTCAAATTCCTCCTTCTAGTTTACATCAGACAAATATTGATTTACCAGTTAGTTGTTTGTCTACAATTATGTTTACAACATGTACAACAACTGAAACAAATGCAGTAACAGTAACGACAACAGTAGTAACATCGGATACAACTGCTAAATCATCTACGACATTTCCGACTGTATGCGTGACAAAGGAACAAATAACAAGTTCACCGAGTACTCAAAGACAAACTACTTTATCATCGAATATGACGACTATTGTAGCGGATGCTAAAATAGCAGCTAAACTTAATCAAGCAGTTTTAGAAAATATAACCGTTACTTCACAGCAATCCAAGTCTGAATCTAATACATTAAGAACGATTACTGTAAATGATACAATTGTATCAACTACGTACATTATAAAAGAAAAAGTTTCAATTTCAACACCTACCACGCAGCTTGAATGTAACAGTTTTGTGCAAAATGTGAACGTAAATACAACAGAAGCAACAAGTAATCCTACGAAATTATTATTAAGTGTTCAACCTACATCAGTTACTTTATCAAAACCAAAAATGTCAATACTTGATTTACCTAAAAAAAATATTGTCGTAGTAACATCAAAGGATGATAAAATTGAATTTAATAGGGACACTGGAAAAGGAAAAAGTGAAAGAGACGAAACGGATCATATGGAAAAAAATCAAGAAAAAGATAATCTCGTCTCTAAAGTAGATATTAATTCAACTACAGTTCCAGATACAATACTTTCAGATGATAAAAAGAATGATCCATTAAATACAACTGATGAATTAGAAAGTATGTTAGAAGCTATTCATAATCCTGCTGAAAATAATATGACGGGGAAAAAGAATGCACATCCGGATGAAAAATCAAATGTTTCTACATTGAAAAGAATGTCACCTGTTGCCGATGATTTGTCTCTTGTAAATATTCTAGAAAATGATACTGAACCAGCTGTTGATAATGACAATAAACAAGATAGTACAGACACGGAAGTAGTCAAAGTAGACAAAACTAAGGAAATGGTAAAACAACCTACTACTACTGCTACTACTACTACTACTACTACTACAATTACTACTGCTACGACTACTACTACTATTACTACTGCTGCTACTACTTCTTCTACTTCTACTACTTCTACTACTTCTACTATTACTACTACTACTACTACTACTGAAGCAAGCAGCACTGATACCAGCACTAATCAAATTATAAATGATGTCAATCAAGAAGAACATAAAGAGAATAAAGACAATGTATCTTGTATAGAAATGGAATCTAACAAACCATATTTAGAGCATTGTCTTAATGAAGAAAGAAATTTAATGGAAGAGTCTTCAGATGATATATTAGACATGCTCCATAATATAATATCTTCTAAACCAGAGATGGCAAATAACGATATTCTTCATGAAGACAGATCTAGAAAATCGAGTCTTATATATCAATTACCAACACCATTGGATACGTTACCTCTTAATATTTTACAAGATTCATTATTGGATTTAGAGCAAGAAAATTTAGAAAATGAAAATTTATCTTCAGAAAGTAAAATGTCGCCTAAGCCTCAAAAAACAAGTCCATCACCTACAGGATCTGTGTCTAAGAAAAGTCCACCACATCACACTCTCCCGTTAGTTGTGAGCACAGTAGCTCAATTACAAAAATGTACAACTACAGTACCTCATCTTTCTCCTTTATCAAAGCCTACAGAGCTTACATCAAACGTGGCCAATGTATCACATCAATTGAGAACATTACTTTCTTCTTTACAGACAAATCATTCTCAAAACTGTACCACCAGTCAACCTACGATCGTTACCATGGTGTCCTCGGTAATTTCAGCACCGAAAGTTGGAACAATCTTATCCACAAGTACATCTTCTCCGAATTCTGTTAATAATACACAATCTAATTCGAATCTTCGTTTGCAGACATGCATGACACCGTCTCCTCATGCGAATACGAATAAAGCAGATATTGAAACTACAACTACTACCACTTACACTTCACAGGGTAAAGAAAGTACAAACTCTACAGTCAGTGTTATTTCAAGTCATTGCAAAGTAACAACTTCTGAACCATTTCTACGAGTAACTTCAAGTGGAATTCAATCGCAACCAACAAATTGTCTTACATTGCAAACTTCTTCTGTAGTAACTTCTAGACAACCAACTAATACTGGAATATCTATTACCTCAAACGCAATGTTAAATGCTATGTTATCTAATACAAATTCAACGATCGCTGGAAATAGAGCAAACACTGTTCCTACACAGGTCAGTAACTTATTAAGTTCAGCTGTGCCATCGCCATCTGTACAAAGAACACAAAATTTGCAAGCAAGCTCAAATAGTTCATCTATAACTTCTCGCATTGCTGCTAATTCTACTCCGACGGCGATAAGTACATCTATGCAATGTATAAGAACTATTGTACCACCTACAGTAACGTCTAGTACAAGCAACGTTAACGTTACTACCAGTATATTACAATCTACATTGTCTCAAACTCCAACACTTTTACAAGCTCAGCATAGTTCTGGGCAAACTTCATATAAGACTGCAGGTCTTTTACCTATTGACAATAAGAATAATGAATTGGAAGGATTAGGTCAGATTTCTGCTGTGAAAAAAGAACAAGACGAGACAAGTTCTAAACTGCAAATAAGCAGTGAAAAACCTATTACAACAAGAAACGAATTAGAAACTGGTAAAGTTAATTTGACAACAAATTCTCATAGAATGGAGGAATCTCAAAATGTATTATTAAAACAATTATTACAAAATACGGTATGTCCAGCATTACCACCAGTACCAGTTAGTACCTCACAAGGACCAACTTTGCCTTCGGTACCATCATTGGAAGCACAATTGGCAACGCCAGTTCCACCTACTTTGTCTTATCGAATACCACCGATGGTAAATGAAACACCAACTATCAAATCTCCTGCTAACAAACAAGTTCTCGCAAGAGAGACTTCGTTTTTATCGCATTCGGTTACTCCTCTTAAAGTTCAAAGTCCACCAACAAAGGAAGAACCACCAAAGCCGCCTCCGCCGCCACCCCCACCACCTCCACCACCATTAGCAACATCTACACCAACCCTGACCCAACAAAGACCCATTGATATAATGGTAAAGCAACAAACAACAAACCAGACATCAAAACTTGCGTCTACTACTACACAAGCAAATCAACAACTCACACTTGCTCCAACTGTGAAACAAGTAGCACCAGTAACAACAAAAAATTGTGAAGTATTATCTTCATTACAACAGGATTCTAATACTAGCCAACCTCAGATAAAAACATCTAATGACCCTGCTATCACAAGTACTGCTCAAGTGCAACAGCAACGTGCACCTACACCTATGATAGTTTCGAGAATGATATCACAAATAAAGCCTGTATCTACGACTGTACCTGTAAAAATGACGCAGGCTATGTCACAAGCTTCAAATAACGTTACACAACAAGTCCCAACTGTTACACCGCCTCAAGCTTTACAATCTCAACCTCTATTGCCAGTAACTCAAAAAACTATAGCTACATCACAACAACCTACACATATTAGTCCAGTACAGCCATCAGTGCCTCATACAGTGCCCCATTCTATGGGTCACCAATCACAGATGTCACAGGGTGCAAATGCACAACATTCAGTGCCTTTAGTAGAAGTCAAAAAGGAAATTCTCGATGAAGTTCTGTCCAGTGGTACACCTACCCAGCTAACCGATACCAAAGACTTTCTTACTGCCAAAGAGGAGCTTATGGATGGTTCTATGGATGATAAAACTGGTACATTATTTATCCAGGCTCCAGCTGAATAACATGTACAAGTGAGTCGCAGGGTGATTCCTTATGAAAAAAAAATAAGAAAACCTTTTTTCATTGGAGACTTCCTTTTCCGATAAAATCAGATTTGAAAATCCGTTCTTTTACAATTCAATTTTTGGTAGAATATATGGTTCGCCGTGCGACGAAATTTTAACATGTTATTCGGATATATCATCGAAGTATTATTAATCAATTTTTATAATGAATAAGGTATATAAATTATTTATATTTTTGTATAGATCTCAAAAAGTTAAGAAGACGTCAATATCAGCAGAAACGTAAACAGAGTCAAGGCAAGGATGCATTAACGGTACCTCAAAAGAAACGATGTAAAAAAGTATCGCGTTTAGACGAAGATTATGACACGTTCATCGATAATTTTATGATTCAATTACGACAACTTCAACCAATGGCAGTGTTGGAACCTTTATTAGGAAGCAATTATGGTGTTTGTCCTATTTTTGGATCAGGGGATTTGTCCAAAATTGTAAATCAGAAGGATTACAATACCAGAACTGGAGACCTAGTTGGTCCATATGGTTCTGCTAGTTTACCTGGTGTCTCTGATCACTATAATACTCAACCTTTTGGCGAATTAGAACCATTACCACCTCAGCAGCCTGTATCTACACAGAGAGGATTTTATGATCAGGAATTTCCACCCCTAAAACTAGATGACGGTATGTATAACACACATACAGGTATAAATAATTAACAAAATAACATCTTTAAATTCTTCTTATTTAATGAAAATCATTATTTCAGCTGATGAAAAGAAAGAAAATTCTTTGGTAACAAATCGTGATATTGATTCTCCCGATACAATAATAAGTTCGTCATCTCCAGAATGTGTGATACCAGAATTTGTCCCACACTTCCCAGGATTAAGATTAATCGAAGAAGAATCAGATGAAGAATCTGATTGGTTGAAAAGAGTATCACCTGTCATACCTTTAATTTCTCCTATACCAATTAGACTTAAACCTACTCATATAAGAGATACAACCAAACAAGATAAAGAAAATTTAGGAATTCCAAGGTATGTTTCGCGCGATTAGTGTTATTAATTATTTAAATCTTACCTTTAATTATCTCTTTCACTTTTTTATCTTTTGTTTTTATATATTTTTATACTATAGGCTTGGAAAATCTCCACCAACACCATTGAGAGAGAATGGAAATGTTACTGTTACTTTGACTTTAAATAGTCAAGCTGCAGATGATATAATGGGTGTACTTAAAGATTTGGCGAATATATTAAACATAGCTCCTCCAACTGGTTACCAGATAGTAGAACGTACCACTACTCCTCCTAGTCAAAAATTAGGACTTTACAGAACTAAGGGAAAAGATGGCAAAGAAGGAGGTGACTAAAATAATTTGATAATTTTATTTTTCATTATCAATCTTCTATTAATTAATTTGTATGACATAATTGGACCTGCATCATGAAAAGAAATAAATTCAATTTTATTTGTTATAGCACCAGTTGACATACAGACTATTTTAAATGGTGCTGCCAAATTCTGTCGTCATTGCGATGTTGTGATATTAAATAGCTTAATAAGAAAAAAAGTATCAGATTTACCATTTTTGAGTAAGGAAGAAGCAGAACCCGGCGACGAATTATGTTTTTGTTCAGCAGGATGTTACATGCAGTTTGCTTTAATACATAGAACACCTACGAGTACCCAAGAAAAAGTAAGTTCATATCTAAATATGAACAATGTGAACTCTAAAAGAAACATAACATTTACCCATGGAATGCATATATTAAAAATTTACACTTGTACTTTTATTTTTAACAGGCTGCGACGATAGTAGACCATTTATGTCCAAAGGCAGATCCCAAGGAAGATGATTTTAAGAAAATGCAGGAGAAAAAATTTTCACTCAAGCAATCTATAGACCACGTGGAAAGTATGGAAATCGAGCCTGAAAATAAATCGGAAGTTAGAATAAAAATTGAAGATGAATTTGAATTACACGATAACAGAGAAGATTTGACAGAGGAAAAACGACCAAAGAAACATGCTGCTCTCGAAGAACTGTCTAATGAAATGAACGAGCCAGCCCCACCTGCAAAAGTATGGAGAGGTCTTAGATATAAGACTTGGACAATGGGTGCAATACAACCTCCAACTAAATATAAAAAACCTACCGATAAAGAAATTACTGACGTATGTTTATTTGACATACATACATACATATATATTTTTTTTATTATTATAAAAGAATTAAAATATAAAATATTATGAAAATTCTATTTATAGATGCTTTTCCGCATGGGTGTGACCGTAGTACCAGCAAAAGCAGAAGACAGCCGTCGATGCATTTTTTGCCAAAGTCAAGGAGACGGTACTGCTGATGGACCAGCTCGATTACTTAATTTCGACGTTGACAAATGGGTGCATTTAAATTGTGCATTGTGGTCGGATGGTGTATATGAAACAGTAAACGGTGCATTGATGAACTTAGATCCTGCTTTACAACGTAGTCTTGTACTTAATTGTATCGTTTGCGAAAAACCAGGAGCCACAGTGAAATGTTTTAAAACGCGTTGTACGAATTATTATCATCTTGGTTGCGCCGTTAAAGACGGTTGTGTATTTTATAAAAACAAAGTAAGTTATCTACATTTTATACTATGAAATGTTAACTCTTTAAACGTCAAACACGCTAACCGTCTATTAATGAAAATTTTAGAGCGCCTTCTGCCCGCAGCACGTACAGAAAAATGAGAAAGATAACGAATTAACAACTTTATCCGTATTTAGAAGAGTTTATGTAAATCGTGACGAAAATAGACAAGTGGCAGCGGTAATGCATCACTCTGAACACAATCATCTACTCAGAGTGGGTAGTTTAATTTTCTTAAGTGTAGGACAATTGCTTCCACACCAACTTGCTAATTTCCACACACCTAATTACATCTATCCGGTCGGTTATAAAATCGTACGATTTTATTGGAGCATGAGAAGGCCCAATAAACGTTGCCGATATGTCTGTTCTATCCACGACGTATCAGGACGACCTGAGTTCAGAGTATTAGTACAAGAACCATTGCAAGAAGATGTTGAATTACGTGACGCTACTCCACGAGCCGTTTGGAGTCGAATCCTCGAACCTCTTGCTGAACTACGTAGATCGACCCACAGTGTCCAATTATTTCCACGTTACGTTTCTGGCGAAGATCTTTTCGGGCTTACGGAACCAGCAGTAGTACGAGTCCTTGAAAGTTTACCTGGCATTGAGACCCTAACAGATTATAGATTTAAATATGGACGCAATCCTTTATTAGAATTACCTTTAGCTATTAATCCAACTGGCAGTGCAAGGACCGAAGCTCGATTAAGAAATCAACTACCTTGGAAACGACCTCACACTCAGCGTACTGGCTCATCCGCCCGTGCTAATTTTGTACCAACTGCTACGGTAGCTGGTGAAGTTGCTTGTCCATATTCGAAACAGTTCGTTCATTCTAAAAGCTCCCAATATAAGAAGATGAAACAGGAGTGGCGAAATAACGTTTACTTAGCACGTTCCAAAATTCAAGGTCTTGGTTTATATGCTGCACGTGATCTTGAGAAACATACAATGGTCATCGAATATATAGGAGAAATTATACGAACCGAATTAGCTGAAACTAGAGAAAAGCAATACGAGGCTAGGGTAAGTAGAATTTTAATTCTATACACACTGTATTCTCTTTTATTATCATTAATATTTTCATGTCATGTTAATCATTTAAATTATCTACTTATTTCTCTCTTTTTTTTTTTTTTTTTAATATTTTAGAATCGTGGTATTTATATGTTTCGATTAGACGAAGAAAGAGTGGTTGATGCAACTCTTTGTGGTGGACTTGCACGATATATTAATCATTCTTGTAATCCTAATTGTGTCGCTGAAATTGTTGAAGTCGAACGTGATCTCAGAATAATAATATTTGCAAAGCGAAGAATCTCACGTGGAGAAGAGGTATAGTAGTATCTGCATGTTAAACAAATATTTTTCTTCTTGTCCTTACAAAATTTCGAAATAATTAAAACTGAAATGAAATTTATATATCGCATTACTTAACGAAATATATTTTTAATTTCTATCATAGCTGGCATACGATTATAAATTTGACATCGAAGATGACCAGCACAAGATAGCATGCGCGTGTGGTGCACCTAACTGCCGCAAGTGGATGAATTAAAAAGGATCCACTGTTGTTATTGTTACTACGTTATTGGGTAGGTTTTACATGAATGATAAAAAAATGATATATCTATATATATATCTATATATATTTTATATATATATACATATATATATAGAAATATATATTGACACATATATTGTATATATTAATAAGAATCTATATATGTATATATATAGATACATATATATATAACTATGTATGTGTGTATATATATATATATATATGTATATTATATATATATGATAGAGATACATTATTTAATTTGTAAAGTGCCATTGCAGTTTGAGTAATTGAATCATAGTGAAGTTGGTGCTATGCCATCACAACATTCCTCCAAAGTTGTATAATATTAGTTTTATTCTATAATCATAAATCATTGAATGCTTGTATATTAAAAAATTTAAAAACGAAAAAATTTTCTTAATGACACAGCATAACGTGAAGAGAAATAAATAATAATAATTATATATATATATATATATATAATAAATATTAATAATAATAATAAATAATAATAATAATTATTATAATAATAATAAATAATAATAATAATTATTATAATAATAATAAATAATAATAATAATAATAATTTTAATAATTATAATAATTACAGTGTCGTGTATATGTATACAAAAAAAAAAGTTTGTATCTTTGTATGTTGAGTAATGTCAACGATAGTTGACCCCCTCCCCAATTGTATTATAGATCGTTTATTAATTATTATTATTATTGCACCATCTCTGTACATAAAGTAGAGATCCATGTTATTTTGAATCACCAGATGAATTATGTAAAATGACAGTATATGAAATTTAGAATTATATACAATTATATCTATATGATTATATAATAAATCCGTATAAAAAAAAAAAATCTTACACATATTTGTTTCTACTAATTCTTTAATCAAAATCATGCACATTGTAATTTTATCATCATCATCCATGCAAATAATTCGAATATGCTTCGTAAAACTTTACAAACATTTCAAAAAATGTAACTAAATGACGAGAGAGTATATATTAATAAATAAACATTTGTAAATTTTTACCTTAATCATTCGACGATATGATTTACATCAAAAAGTTTATCAAAAAGTATGAGTAGTTGCAACCCCCTAATACGGGATAGCAAAAATTGTAGTAAAACTAAATCAATTTATTAACAAAATTACACATAGATATGTGTATATGAATTTATGATAATGAAAAAGAAAATATTTTCTTGGATAAAAGAAAATTGCCAAATATGGAAAAATTTGAAAAGCTCCTGCTTTTTTATGTGTATCTCAAATTACATTATTACACATATACACAAATATAATAAGGTTTATATACGCTAAAACATATATATTATTTATTATAAATCGGGTTTTGTATCAGGTATAAAAAAGAGAAATATAGGTGATCGTTATTTCTTGGATATGGAACTTTATTCCAATGTTTTTCGTACACACAACGATATTCACAGCGAACTGCAATAGTGTATACACGTAAAATGTACAATACAATTCCTTTAAGAGGTTCGTTTTTTATCGTTAGTGTAAAAAAAAAAAAAAAGAAGAAGAAAAGGAAATAAAGAAAGAAATATCAATTTTGAAAACAATATGTACAAGGGGGCAATACATTTTTTTACAATACAAATGTCAAACGTTTTTATACAAAATAAAAAAAAAAGAAAGAAAAGAAAACAAAATCGTTTAACAAAAACTTATGATATAAATCAATTTAATAATAATTATAATAATAATTAAGCAATATAATCTCGAATATAATAATAATAATAATTATTATAACTAGCAAGCTTAAATAAACTTAATATATTGTAAAAGGAGATGTAAATATACATATACGGTATTATTAGGAGGAATAATATGATACTTATGTTTCGTCGAAATTAAAAATGTGAACGTTTAATATAACAACTAATACAAACTATAACGCGTAAATCTTAAATGCGAATAATAATAATAATAATAATAATAATAATAATAATAATAAACACATATAGGTGTATGAAAAAATATATTTAAATGCAATTCTTTGGCAATTCAGTTCTTTTTAAAATTGAAAAAAGAAACTTGTCCTTCGATAATTGAAAGAGATATATATATATATATATATATATATATATATATATATATACATAAGCCGATATTAA